CGTGGGGATGCCACCACCACCCACCCCAGCGCCTGGCCTGGCACCGGTGAGACACGACACGCTTCATCCTTCTGAATCAGCCCTGCCATGTCCTGGCCAGGAGCCGGTTTTGTCACTCGCCACCCCTGCAGTGTGCCATGCGCAGGGAGCGGGGATCCCAGCGTGGGCAGACCTGGTCACTGGGTGCCCTGGTGTCCTCGAGGAGTTGGACAACTACAGCAACCCTGCTCCATCCCTACAGCAGCCCGTGCATGGCACCCATCTCTCCCCGGGGAGGCATCATACCCGCACCATCCCTAGCCGGGTTTGGGGACGCGTTCATCCGGCGTGCTCGCGCACCAGGGCCCTGCTCGCTGCCAGCTCCCCCCGCCACACACCAGAGTCCTCAAGCTGTGCTGCCAGTGCTCACCCACACACACACACTGTCCCCAGTCCCTGCTCACCAGGCTCACATGCTTCCATTATCCTCAGTGCGGTGCCAAAGCACGCAACCGCTCCCTCCGGCCTCCCTGTTCCCCACGGCTCCTTTCCACCACCCAGCTGCACGCCGGAGCGGCAGGACATGCGGCCTCTGAATAGAGGGGCCCTTCGCAACAGTGCCATTTCCCAACCTGCTGGCACCAGGAATATGCCTGCAATGCCCCGGCCCTCTGCCTGGAGCTCAGCCACGCGTGGGGCACCCCAGCAGCCCGTGGGGACGCTGGGTCCCTGCCAGAGGGACAGGCACATGCCCGCGGCAACAGGCACTAACGGCATCCCGCCGGGGCCTCAGTCTGGGCAGGTTGCAGTGATGCCGGGCTGACTTCAATGGGTGCTGGTCACAGCCGCACCCCTCCTGCCCGTCTGCCCCGTTTCCTGCTGCCACGTCTCCACCACCGGCTGCGCTCCCCTTCGAGCATGTCTCCGTGGGATGGCAGCTCCTGCAGCGCCGTGGGGCTCAGCCCTACCCGGGACATTCTGGCAGCCAGCGATGCCCCATTCCCTGAGTAGAGATTCTCCTGCCTCCCATTGGCTTTTCCCCAGCCTGCTCTCTCCACTCGCATCAATCCCCCAGTTGTGTCCCCCCCCCCATCATGATGCTACAGCAATTTCATGTGGCTGCCAGCAAACCTCTCTGGGCACCACCCGGTTTAAAACAACCTGGCAATAAAAGCCAGCCGATTGCCGTGCCCAGCGGCAGCCCCTGCATGGCCTCGCTGACAGCAATTTGGGGCCCCGGGGGGGGGGTTGCAGAGGGGCAGGGCTGGGACTCCACGGGGTCTCTTGGCCCCCAACCATCCTGATCCCCTCCTCAGGGTTGCTCACAGCACAGGAACGCCGGGAGGCCTCCGGCTTGGCTCCGCAGGGCTCCCGGGACAGCAGGCAGGGTGTTATCCATCTGCGGAAAGGCGATGGGGAAAAAAACCTCGTCCCCTCCTGCTGGGCCATTGCTAATAATGAAGTGCGTGGGGTGGGGAACAGAGCCGAGCGACCTCCGAGTCACATTCAGGGCTATAAAAGGAAGCCGGGTCTCCAGCACGGCGCCTCTTCCACAAAAGCAACCGGAGGATGAGGGGGCTGCAAGCGGAGCTGAGAAATAGCTGCCAGGCAGCGGGAGAGGAGCCTTTAGCGCTGAGCGAAGTGCGAGGTGCGCATATGCTCTCTGTTTCTGCACATCTACATCTTCGTGAAACCTGCCCGAAACTGTGTCATCTATTTTGAACAGTGCAGAGAAATACTTTGATCTGCCTCCACCAGCCCTGGCTGCGGTTCCAGCGCCGGTAAGTGGCTGGCGTACAGGTGGCCGATCCCAAAACCTGCGCGATGGAGAGACAGGAGCAGAGCTGCTGGGCCGACATCTCCCTCCAACCCACTGCAGTGAGGGAGATGATGGATCCTGGGAACACCTCTGAAGTAGTGCACTGTGTGTCCGAGCCTTCCTGCAATCTTCGTGCCAGATACCAGTGCTGCTTTGGGGCCGCCGGGCTGGAGAGGCCATTGGGAGCTCTTGGGTAGCGCGTCCCTACATTGCCCTGGGGCGAGGACAGGCCCCGAGCTGGGGAGGAGGACGCGCTGGGCCTGCCTGCACCTTGGATGATGTAAAGCCTGATCCTCACCGCCCTGCACCACCACGTCGACCCCTTCCTTGGGAAGCAGCCCCCCACGCACCCCAGTCCGCAGGGCTCCAGAGCCCTCACTCAGCTCCAGAGCAGCACAGAGAGCAGATGGCACCGGTTCTTTCCAGATGCTCCGTCCCACTGCCCCTACTTGACCCCCACACAAAAGTTCTCATGCTTTTGCCTCCCTCGTCCTGGTGCTCCTCCCCGGAGGTGCCACATACCCAACAGCTTCTGTCTGGGGACGTCTGCAGGCACTCGGCAAAGCTACGGCTCCGGGAAGCGACAGGCAGGGGACAAGGACAGAAGGGGGCCAGGAAACATGGAGGGCCTGGTGCCAGTGCTGGTGACAGGGCTGAATGGAGGGGTACCAGCTGCTCAGCTGGGTCTGCCCGGCTTGAGGAGGCAGCAGCACCCAAAATGCGTGCCAAGACCCCAGAGCCAGCACCATGCAGTCTCAAACACGGCACCATCTGTGAGCCAGCCCAAGCACCCTCTGCTCTGGAGCGAGCGGCACAGCACCACTTCACCCAGCAGCCCCAGCAGATGGCCAGGCTGGGCTGGTGATGGAGGAGAGGAGCCCAGTGCTGGCAGGGGTCTCCTTGAGAGTCAGCGGGCATCTCTGCCACCCCTCGGCAGATCAGGGTGAGCGGCAGCATCCTAAAGGTCACAGCGCTTGTTTGCTCCCAGCATGAGCAGGCACGGACCAGGCGCTGCTCCATGGCCGCTGCTCCAGCCTGGAGCTGCAGAGCTGGGTCCTGAGCAGGGCATGTGGCCCCCTGCCCCTCTTGCCCAGCTCTACACATCCCACTTCCCAGCAGAAGGTGCCAGTGTGGCTGATTGCTACCAAACCCACACAACTGCCAGCCCCAAGTGCCCGTCCTCACCTCTTGGGACCTTCCTGGCTTCCCCACCTCCTGGATCCAGCACTGCAGAGCATCCTGGTGTGTCCCCAGCAGCCAGAGGAGGACATTCACCTCCTCCTCGTGTCTCCTGTCCCAGGCCTCCTCCCAGTGGCTGCTCCTGCTCTGACAGCAGCAGGTCCCCAAGTCACTGCATGGGTTGGGCTCCTGGGGACCCAGGGTTCGCAGGGTGCGTCTGCCCCGTCACCTCCTGCTCAGCAGCACCCCAAGGCTGACAGCCCTTTGCCCGGGCACCTTCCCTGAGC